GATTGACATTTTATATTATTTAATTTTGCCATGCAAGAATATAGTATGTCTAGTAATGGAGAGAGCCACAATTTCATTTTTATGCATTTGTTCTACAGCTATTGATTCCCTTACCGTTAAGTTATATGGTGGAATGTTCGGCATTTCATTTCTAAACATGTTTACTAGATTTCTTACCTGATTTTTTTGAAGGTTAGCTTCTTCTAAGAGTTGCATGCTATTTCTGGCTCTTATAATAGCCTCATATTTCTCATTTTCTAATTCATTGCACTTTGCTTGTAGGTCTCTGGTCTGTTTTTCCAGATTATTTTTTTCTGCTCTTAATTGATTTGCTTCCTGGATTACCACACATAATCTAAAAATTAATCATCCCATTGTGAAAGTTAAATATTTTTAAAGGGAAGGAGAGAAATAAGAGATTTACTGAGCAACTATTATAGGACAGGTATTTTACAGGTATTATATAGGACAAGTAACCTTCACATGTATTTTCTCCTTTGGTCCTCACTATAATTCTGTTAAGTTTTATTATCTCCATTTTAAAGAATAAACTTACCCAGAGATGTTGAGCATTTGAGACTGAGCCTGGATATTCTGACTCCAATTATGTTACACTTGTTATGGTATCACACCATATTATACAGTTATATGATAATGTTATAAGGAAATCCTTAAGGAATGAGTTGGTCTATATATTTATAAGGTCTGTCTTTCTTTTTTCTTTGGCTCCCCTTTCCTACTCTCTACCCAGGCAAGCCATGTTAACTTGGCTATAATAATGTATGCCTTTAAATATTTTTCTCCATGTTCCTATAATCACACGTACACGTGTGTATACATAGACACACAAACATATACAAATACATACATATACATAGTTTATATACATCTATCCATAGGAGGTTTTTAAATATTTTTTTGTGTTATAAAAATTAAATCACAGTATAAATCCTTTTCTGTACTTGGTTTTTCATCCTATAATATCTCGTATCCCATCAAGCAATACACCCAAAAGCTCTTTCCTTTCCTACTCTGATGGATGTAACTTCATTTCACTGTTAATCTGTATTTCCTTGACTACTCAAGAGTTTAAGCATAAACTCTTACACGGATATTGCTCTTTGAGTTTCTTTTTCATCTCCTCTAGCATATTTTTTCTGATGAGTTGTTTACTTTACTCGTCCTTTATAAAAACTCTAAATATTACAGATATTAACCCTCAGTCTGTCCTTTATACTGCAAATATTTTTTCCAAATCTATTTTTTTGTTGTTGTTGCCTATTGACTCTATTTAGAGAATCTTTACCACATGAAAAATTTGATACAGCTAAATTTGACTTTTTTTTTTCAACTTTAGGGATTTCAGTTTTCATAAAGATGGTCTCTCTCATCCCTAGATTGTTAATGTAATCTCCTAGATTTCCTCAAAAGACCGCCATGACTTTATTTTTTTACCTTTAAATCTTTAATCCATTTGGAATTTACTTCTGAATACGGTATAAGAGAGGAGTCCAACTTAAGTTCCAGACTGATGGCCAGTTGTATGAGTATCATTAGTATCTAATGAATTGAAATACTCCTGTTATCATCCCTAAAATATCCAAATATCATAATTTACTTGTGGATTATCATGTTTCATTGATCTATGTCAATTCTATGCTCAACGCATATTAATTTGTTTATAGTGGCTTTAAAACCTATTCTGATACGTTCTGGTAAGATATATTTCATACTTTTGTTACTTTTAGGCATTTTTTTCTAAATGATATTTAATAGAAGCAGCAGCATTCTATCCACCACCTCTCCGGCTATCCACATCCAGACACTCCTCCCACTAGTCAAGTGGCTTATTTCTCATGCATTTGGTAATTTTTAATTAAGTTCATATCTGCCTAAATTTAATCTGTGAATCTTGAGGGGCTTAAGTCGAAAAATATTTCCCCCTAAAGATTTAAGTTTGCTTCTTCCATGCATCAGGACTTGCTACCAACCTGCTGCCACTTCAGTTTTTTGGCTTGAGGTTTCCGCATGAACAAGTAGTATAAATTTGAACTCCAGGCTCCTATGAGGGCAGGGCTATGGTTACACATTCTCAGAGAAGACTACAGTGGTTATTATGGTTTATTTTTTCCGTTTGGCAACATGGTGGAAATAATTTTCCTTGTTGGATGTCTTTGTTAAGAGATATTTTTCCTATTTTAGCCTTTGAGTGAGGGTGTAGTTATTTCAAGGGTTCCAGCCCTAGACAGGCTGGAGGAGGTTTAGCTTCTTGCCACATTATACAGGCCTAACTCTGGCTTCCTTGTTTATTTACCACTCTGGTTTTTGCTCTCTGTTTTCTTTTTTTCTTTTTTCTTTTTTTTTGTTTGTACCCTTGGGAATTCCCTTTACATTAAATGTTCAACTTATAAAAATATATGTTTATTGTAATTTATCATCAAGATATTTACATGAAGAGGGTTTTTCCAGAATATTTAGTCTGTCATTATGTTATTGGAATAGTCCGTACATTCATTATGAATCACTGTTTTGTTCCCATCCATTTCTAACTTGTAGTACTAAGCCAGTGGTCCACCCAAACATAAGCCTTGAACCTTGAGAACAGACATTAGTGGTATATTACACCACTAATACGTACTTGGCTTTTGTTCTTCCTTTGTATTGAAAATATTGGACTTTACCTGAGTCCTGTGCTCCCAGGAAAACAGGGAAGGCTAAAAATTCCCCCACCCTTGTTCTCCAACCCCCCACCCCATCCTTTTGTGTCCCAGAAAAGAGCTAACAGCAAAAAAACAACCCTGCCCTTGCATATTCCAAGGTAAGATGTGCCTCCATCCTTCCTCATGACTCCCATAAGACTCATACACGCCTCACTTGTTTATCTGCCTATATTAAAAAAAACCTCAGGCCCCTTCCTTTTCTTTGAAATGTTCCTCATTAATGAACATTCTCCCTGATGCAACAGTCTGAATAAAATTGTATCCTAAACTGGTACATTTGGTATTTCACGGTACTAAAGAGTCCTTAAACTACCCAACTAAATCTCGAATAGAAAGAAAATTTTAATTATATTTTTCAATTACTTTCATACTACTACCTTTTAAGCTCTCAAATACATACACATACACACACCCTAGGGTAGCCTAGTTTTTAAATTGTCTTCAGCCTAGGAAGTGAATATTTGCTGAAGAAAGGAGAAAAAAAGTGACTTGGAATCCAATTAAGAATAATATGTAAATCTGGATGCATTCTTTAGTAAATATGTGTGAAATTTCAAACACCAATTCAGGTTGATAGTGGAAGCTAAGACCCACATACACTGTTGAGTAAGCCTTTTTTCCTAAGATTTTAAGCATATGAATGATGGAGGTCAGAAGGTAGTAGGGGTGATTATATAATACAAATAAATGATGGCTATCAATCAACTTCATCCTAAATTTTTACTTATCTTTTAAAAACCCTGTTTTTAATTATAGTATCCATTGGTGAATTTTCCCTACTGATAATAATGCAAAAAATAGTGAACATTTAAATAATGTTTATACTTCAGAACATCCTTTGCATTATTTAAACTAAATAAGTATAATGTAGTTTAAGGACTTTTCTCAGTCATCTATGGAGATAATCACATGTCACCAGATACTGACCACCCCTAGTGCCCAATAACCTAAAACACTGTCAGGTATACAGCAGGTGCTCAATACATGTTGAATAAATGATGCTTCACCTGTTTATATGGAAGTCCTTCTCAAGAGATTCTTAAAGACTCTTCTACTGATAATGCATGAAAAACCATTTCTAGTCACACTGGGATATACTTCAATTTTCTCTTAGACCTGTTCCCACTATTCCTGTTCAATAGGCATAGGAATATGAGTTTCAAATTTGCTTTGCATATGCTTTCTTTATCCTGCCCAAAACAAAATTACCAAAAACAAATAAATAAAAACTATTATAACTTTATTTCACTTCTTTTCTTTTCTTCTCAAATCAGATTATTAGTGATTCCTTCAAGGGTCAAACATATTTTCCTCTGTCTACTTTGGTTATGTTAAACCTTAAATGATAAAATTCTTAGCACCAAAAAGGCATGTTGAAGTGGGGAACAGGCATATATTTATTGTCACCTTTGTTATAGGCATTGCATCAAATGAAAAGATTTTATTAAATAGATAAATTATTAATTTTAGAACAATATAAAATCATCGAAGCACTTGGAAAATGTCTGTTTTTCATATTTTGTATTAACATGGACCAATATAAACACTTAAAGGAGTGTTATGATAAAATATAAGAAATTAGAAATACTGATATATACCATCAATCTTTTAAAATCATTTTATGAAGTATGATTTAAAAACTCAATCATTAAAGTGAAATTTGTGGGGGGGGATAGGGAAGAGGAAGTAAATTTTTAGCTTAAGAATGTGGAAATTACTAACCCGGGAATATTCAACTGATCTATAAAACAAGACTTCTTTTTAGTATCATGTTAAAAATTACATCCTAGTTTTAGAAAAGGACAAATATTTATTCTCCCTACCTAAAATAAGGTCCACAATCTAATTTCAAGCCATGTTGCTCAGCTTGTACAAAGAAAAGGAATTAAGAAAAAAGATCATTGAGGGAATCATTTTTACATATCAGTGTCCTACATTCAATGGTTTGCAACTATGATGGTACTAACATTTGAGATGCATGGGGACACTTTGGTGGTTACAATGCCAGGAGGTGCAATTAGAATTTAGTATTTGGTGCAAAGGATGCTAAACATCCTGTAATTATTGGCACGATCTCTAACAACTAAGAACCGTCTCACTCAAAAGGCAACATTCCTGTTGAAAAAACATGGCACCAACTGATCATATCTATGAAGGCAGAGAGCAGTGATTGATTGGAAAAGAGATTTGAAGGGCCACTGGAGATAAGCATTCCCAGAAACATAAGGAAAGAATAGTACTGGGGACCAGGATGCACTAGTAACTTGTCTTGAGAGACCAACAGGATTGAGGAACAATCTTCAGATTGCAGCTGGGCACGGTGGCTCATGCCTGTAATCCTAGCACTCTGGGAGGCCAAGGCAGGCGGATCGTTTCAGCTCAGGAGTTCGAGACCAGCCTGAGCAAGAGCGAGGCCCTGTCTCTACTAAAAAAATCGGAAGAAATTAGCTGAACAACGTAAAATATATATAGAAAAAATTAGCTGGGCATGGCACATGTGTGTAGTCCCAGCTACTTGGGAGGCTGAGGCAGGAGGATTGCCTGAGCCCAGGAGTTTGAGGTTGCTGTGAGCTAGGCTGATGCCATGGCAATCTAGCCTGGGCAGCAGAGTGAGACTCTGTCTCAAAAAAAAAAA